TGAAGACGGATTGCCCTCATTTGATGCGCTGACAGATGGAGATGTGACTACCGAGAATGAGGCTAGTCCTTCCTCCATGCCTGACGGCACCCCTCCGCCTCAGGAGGCAGAAGAGCCGTCTCTAGTAAGAACCCTTCCTACTGTTTAACAGGAAATGGAGTTGCCTCTGGCAACCCGCTGCATGGGTATGATGCAGTAACAATAAGGTTTGGATTCTTAATTTAGACTGATGCTAAAACAGTTCCCAAGCACACTTGGGGTTGCAAGTTCTATGATTCTGGGTTTCAAAATGTTGAAAATACAGTTTTCACTGTGGTCCTTATGGCAGTTTTTTAATTTCAAAACTATCTTTGACTCTTTATATGTGTGCATTTTTATTTCTTAGTGTTATTTATGCTTATGAAGAGACTTAGAAAATGCAGATAACCAAGGAAAAAAGAAAAAAGCCAAGAATTCACCTGTAATTTCAAATAATCTCTAATATTAAAATGATTACAATTTCTTGTCTTAAGATATATCATCAACATGTTTGTGAATTTTACATATATGCATAATTTTTAATGGTTATATAGTATTTTATTGTTGGGAGATGCCCTAATTTATTGAGTGATCCCTTATGGTTGGATATGTAGTCTTTTTTCCTATTTTTCACAACCACAAATTATATAATTGACATATTTGTAGTTTTATTCTTATGCATATGATTCTAGAAATGGAAGGTAGATCAAGGGGTATGCAATATTTTAAGGCTTTAGGTCCATAATTCTTATGAAGATTGAAAAATAATAGCGATTTGCAACCTAAGTTACCTAAATTTATGGTAGGCAATGAAGAATGAATGTGTTGACATGAAGAGTGAGTTTTCTTTTCAGTGTGTTGTCTGACCAGAATTTTAGTAGCTCTAAGACCCAGTTTACCTTCTCTTCTATTGTAGACATTTGTCATTTGCCATAAATCTGATCTAAGAGAACACTGTGTAAATTATGGAATGCCATCTTCCAACCTTTAATAATGTGTGTTGGCAGTCCATTTAGAGGTTGTTTCTCTTCCATCTCTAAGTTTTTATATGTTAAAAGCACTCCATGTGAATATATGTACATCTCCTTGTATTCCTTTGTGTTTGAGATTTCTGGTCTAGATGTCTAGTTTTTATTCCCCAATTTCTCCATATGTCATTGTCACTGGCTTCTCTGTCTCTGACGAGTACTTTGATTTCTTTACGCTAATATCAGATGATTTTTATGTACACAGTTTGACTGGAAGTGGTTGTTGCCTCCGAGTCACTCGGCAGGTCTAGGCAGAGAGGTCCTGGAAGGCCATCGAGTCAAATGAAGATACAGATATCAAGACATGATCAAGGCTTTGCCTGACTGTACACTTTGTCACATCTCCTGACTCTACTTATAAATCCTTTACAGTGATAGCCACTCTTTTATCCCAAATAGTCCTGGAATCAGTAAAGATTTATACCTTGATTGTGAAAGCATTATAGAATCTCGTTTATTGCCACTGATTCTTTTGGGTTATTAGGGGAAGATGTACATATATTCCCTCCCTAGCCCTCATGTTCTCATTTAGAAAGGCGGCTTTTCTCACCTTGTTGGTATTTGGAAATCCTTTAGGAAGATCCTTTTGCCTTATTTTACCTAGAATAAAAATCAAAGTAGACAATACTGTCTGGAATGTAGGAAAAGGAAATCCTTTCACAGTTGGTAGTAAAATGCCAAACTTCTTACCTTTTAAAAAATATGTTTTCTTTAGCACTATTGTGTTGAGGTGTGATATAATTAAAGAGTGCAGAATAAACTTTTATAATTGTAATTAAAGTTTAAAATGTCAATAACTGATTCTAATGCTTACAAGATGCATAACTGTTCTTGCTTTTCCCCTTCTCTGGTATGTTTCTAGCTTAAGAAGCTCTTACTGGCACCAGCCAACACTCAGCTGAGTTATAATGAATGCAGTGGTCTCAGTACCCAGAACCATGCAAACCATAATCACAGGATCAGAACAAACCCTGCAGTTGTTAAGGTACGATGTAAACTTTTTGATACAGGAGGAAAATGAACAAAAGGTATTTGCTTGAAGCTGAACAAGAAAGGATAGGTTTATTTATATTTATTAAGTCAGCTGGGATCCTACAGGTGCTTCACAATGGTAAAACATTATGAAATAGGTTTCTGAATTTCACTACTTTAAACGAGGCAGAGTTCATTTACATGTTGTCTTTGGATGATTGCACTGAAAACTCCACTGTCTGTTACTACTTGCCCACTTTATTAATACGTACAGCAATGTGGGCTACAATAAAATTTGCTGATAGGCTGCTACTAGTGATGAGTGACTTTAAGATGCAGGATTGCCATTTTGCCAGCTGTCTAACCTGAGAAAGATTGTTCTGGAATCACCACAAAAGATCTATCTCTGCCATTAATTGGCTGGAATGCTGGCAATGACATAATTCCGTTAGCGGTCTGTATTAAACAATGTTTGTCTTGCCATTCACTGAGAGTGAAAACAGAGCGTTAAGGGGTACTTAAGAGAATAGTGAATACTGGGCTCCAGCAATCAGTGGCAAATTAAGGTTTAAACCAGCTTATTTTTTTTTTATTCACAGTAAAGGCGCTATAGGGTCTTGTTAGTTACATGTTGCTGAGTAGGAACATTGAAATGTAGGAGAAATGAAATAAAAAGCTGCATAAATGTCATTTAGGAATTTTAAATGTAATTTTCTTTCCTTGTTCTGCAAACAATTATTCACAGCTCATAGATCTAGTACACTTAGACTGAACACTTCATTGAAAATCTCATCTCTTCAGAAAACCTATATCCATTCTGATAAGGTTCAGTTCACTAATTTTAGCTTGCTTTATGCCTTGTTTTTAAGACCGAGAATTCATGGAGCAATAAAGCGAAGAGCATTTGTCAACAGCAAAAGCCACAAAGACGTCCCTGCTCCGAGCTTCTCAAGTATCTGACCACAAATGATGACCCTCCTCACACCAAACCCACAGAGAACAGGCACAGCAGCAGAGACAAATGCACCTCCAAAANAATCCCTGCTTAGCCACAGGTTGAACATATCCTATTCAGCTGATATGCAGCCCAATTCACAATCACCTAAAGACACCTGAAATGTTAGCTGGGTGCAGAGGGGGAGGGGACGGAAGAGGGAATTGCAGCATCAGATTGTCTGAATCTCTGAACTGCTGAGATAATGGAAGTTCTGCACAAGCTAGGTTACCAACTCATTAAAGAGCTTTATTTATTTTTTCTTTCCAATAATGGAAAAAAATGAGACATTGCTGATTTGCTTTGTATACTTTAAGAAACATATACGGTATTTAACAGCCTCTTGCTGTTAAGTGCATCCTTGTTTTTTTTAGATGACGTGGTATGCTCACAGATTTTATTTCATAAATAAGAATTTGAAAATTCTTGGTGTTTTTAAAATTTGCTCTTTTTAAAAAATATAAATTGCCTAGATTGAACTAAACATCTGGGTTGATTTTTATGATCCCCATATATTGCTAGAAGGCTGACATATCTGAGGCAGATGAGGTTGATATGGGGAAAACCTCTCTTCCCAGAGATACAATTTTCTTTTTGACTCCTTCCCTCAAAATATTCTCATTCTAGAGGCCCAAAGAGAGTTGGTTAAAAGCTGCTCTTCCTTTAAAATATCCCAGCTTCCATGTGACTCAACCTCTAACCTTGTAGTGGAAGGAGGCATTTTTTAAGCTGACAATTTTAAACGTCCATTTCTTTTGTTCCTTGCGCTTCCCCGACTTGCCCTTCCAGCGGCACAGTGATAGTGCCCGATCCCTGCTTTGAACCATGATCATTTCATCTAGGTAGGCTGGTGTTTCTGCTTTTCATAAGTTTTCCTTTCCAGTGTTTTGAATTTCCTCTCTTATCCCTACCTCACCATAAACCCAGGATTTTTAGGAACCTTTCTTTAATATTTAAATTGGCTCACAATTAGGTTTTCCCTGGTGGGGATCTCAAAAATCACTGTCCGTTCCTTTTGTCAACTCAGGGAAATATATTTATTGAAATGGATCAAATTCTTCAACAGCTGGCTTTCCCTTGATCAGCCCCTCATTAAGCACGTTCTGGAGCAGTTCTCCTAACACGGAACCAGCAGTGCTGTCGGGTTCACCCCTGTTGAAGGCCTCAGGTGAAGAAAGCCAGCGGGGCTCAAGTCAGCACGAGAACTGAAAAATTCACTGGGCTACTTACTCCCCCTCCCGCGAGCGTCCCAGTCATATGTTCACTTTCGGGAGCTGAATTTGATGCCCCATGCTTGATAAAACCCTATAGGGCAGTGAACCCAGCCCAATGGCCCATGTTTTAAAGATCATTTTTATTTTTAATTGCTTTAAAATT